GCCGAGGGTGCCGGGCGGAGGGGCGGGCGCTGCGCCCGGAGGCTGCCGAGGGCAGAGTCCGAGCCCGCGGAGCTGACACCGCGCCCCGGCGGCTGCATGGAGTTTTTTCTTGCTGATCGTTTTGGTCTGTGTTTTATTTTCCCCCAGGTGCCATTTTGGGGAGCACTTATTTCTCAAGTTTTGAACGTTTGCAGTTGTATTTTTCAAAACACTGAAGTCCTGTAGGACCAGAGGAAAAGAAACCAAGAGATGATAGAAAAGGCTTTGTTCTTTGAACGACTTGATTGACATTTCGAGTGCCAGCCTCCCCCACCCCTTGTGTTGGACTTTCCAAGGGGGACGCGAAGGTATCCTGCGGGCGCTGAAGCGGCAAATACGGGCAGAATTTGGAAGGACATTTTAATGAATGAGTCTGTGGTTAGGTTCTCAAAGAAGACGTGGCACATTTAGGCACAGGAAGAGCATGACCCACATAGATAACCTGGTTTGTGAGGGCTTTGCTGGATTTGTTTCTTTGTGGATTTTTGGGGGGGGGGGAATTTTTTTTTTCTTTTTACTAGCAACTATTTGAGCAGTGGGTGCTCTAAAAACACATATTGTAAATACGAAACAATGTGAATGTTACTCAAAAAGTAGATTTTGACTGTGTTTGCTTTGGCCTTGGATATCTTAAGTGGAGCCCTTGGGTTTAGGATTTATATCTCTAATGGCTCAGTGTAAGTTGTGCAAGGAATGAAAATGCTGACAGACATTTGGAGGTTTCTGTTATTTCCTGGTCTTTTTAGGGACTCGCTGGAATTAGGAGGAAAACTTTCTCCAAATGGGTGGTCACTAGATAAAAGGACTTCAAAAGGGAATGACATTTTTTTCTTATAGGAGATGTGCAGCAACGGGTAAAACGTTTTCATCAATTTGAATTGTCAAGAAATAAGCAGACTTTTTTTTTTTTTTTTAAAGGATCCAGGGTTATTTGTTGACTTAGAAAAAGGAAGTGATCAAATTAAAATTTTCTTGTCATGTTGGTCTGTTTAAAGAATTATTTCCTGTGAAACCTGTGTACCATACTAGCATGAAGTGCCTGACTGTCACTGGAGGATTTGAGTACCTCCCCTGCCCCAGTATTGGTGATGAAAGGTGCTGAACCTTCTCTGTTCCCTTGCCTGTTGCCAGTTGACTAAACAATATGTGGATTTGTGAAACAACATACTGGATTAGGAACAATCTTCGTGAGTATAGGAAGTAACACTGGACTACACCAGCACCTGTGCTTGTTTGTAGACTCTATTTCCTGTTCATGGCCTATTACTTTTTGGATTAATTAAAACAAAACCTATTGTTAAATTACAATTAAACATTTAGACAAAGCCTGTCAAAGCATTTAAAATAACAAAATTATAGAGAAAGGTGAAGTAATAAAGACAGGATTTACAACTTGGCCAAGGTTATAAATTGTATTAGCCAGAGATTTTCTTATTTATAGAATTGTTGGCCATGAAACTTCTTTGATGTTATGAAAAGATAGTATTTGTTCACATTTACATCTCCTATCTTATTGAAATAAAATGCAAAGCCCACTTTGAGGAGTTGGTGTTCAAGTTTAGTGCTTAAATATGAACATCGTGAAAGCAGTAAGTCCACTGCTATACAGTAGTGTTTTTTTAATTTTTTTTTTTATACAGTAGTGTTTTTAAAGGAAGTGATACGTAATAAAGAAAAGACTTCTTTATAAAGTGTTTAACCCTATTATTCCCATTTAGCTGAAATGAGTTTTGTTTCCAAGTATGACCTGTGCTTTTTTGTAAGCCGATTTTTTCCTTTTTTTTTTTTTTTTTTTAATTTTACCTTTTTCAGAAAGGTTTTCACTAACTTGCCCAGACTGGTCTTTAACTTGCAGTCCTCCTGAGTAGTTGAGATTATAAGGGTGCGCCACTGCCCCCTTGTTTGCAAGCCGATTTTTAACAGGGCTGATGAAGGCAAAAAATGCATTTAGCTGCATTTGACAAATTTTAAGAGGTGCCTGCTGAATCACATCTGATCTCTACTTTTTCTGGAGTGATTTTTTATTTTTTTAGTTGTGTGCCAAAATTGGAAAGTTTAACTTGGTTTTGCTTTCATTAAGAGCGTTTATGTAGAACATCTCCGGTTTTGTGTACATTGAATAAATGAAAGGTTAAAAGTTTTGTTATATGCGAGCTGTTAATAATTGGCAGAGTACAGAAAGTGTTCAAATACCTATAATTTGGTGTTTTTATTTTTTTGATGGTATGTACTCATCTTTGTGATAAGTTCTTTTAAAATGATATTTGAATCTGTTACCTGGAAGAAAAGTGACTTTTTGAGCTTGTGATTGGAAAAGTAAAATTGTAATTAACCTAGATATTTTCACAGAAAATAACAGGACAGTATAGAGGAATATGAATTTCTTAATTGTTACATATTTTAAGTAGTTTATTTTCAGTTATACTTATTTAATTAGCCGAGTGGGTTAAGATCTAAATTCCTGGATAATCTCTAAGCCCCTTTATATAGTTATAAATTTAATCTCACTTTTTTTTCTTTACAGTTGTTAAGGGATAAAGTAGTTTCAAGTCTTCTGTAACTTTCTTAGTAGATCATTGTATTTAGTTTGGGGTATAATTTATGAATCATTGCTGGAAGAATTATGTATATCTGAATTATTTATGCTAGCAAAAGTATTTTTGGCCTTTTTAAAAATTAGATTGTTTTGTCTTCCTCCCTAGGTTCAAATAAAAACACCACTCTACCATCACTTTTTAAAAAAGTTCTGGCTTCAGATAATGTGAGCTTTCTGAGGGCTTCTTCACATGACTGTTCTCAGTTTTACAAGTAGGTCCTGTTTCATACCCAGTTGATATTATAATGTATAGCAGTTGTATTTCATGGGTGAGTTTGGCAGAATTGGGCCGAACAAAACCGCTCATCTTTGACTGGAACAGATTATGCAATTACTTCGGTAACCCTGTTCAGCAGAGGTGTCGCTACATTAACATGGAGTTCATTTTATTCTTTCTATTGATTCCTGTAATAATTTGCCACTTTTGTTTTTAAAATACTTTAATGTGGGGCTGGGGATTTAGCTCAGTGGCAAAAGCGCCTGCCTGGCAAGCGCAAGGTTGTGAGTTCGGTTCCCGGTACCGGAGAAAAAAAACAAAAAAACAAAACAAAAAAAAAATAAAATACTTTAATGTGTAAGACATTCTCCATCTGTTCTACAGCTGGGGTGTGGCTCATTAGTCAAGTGCTTGCTTATTTGGGTCCTAGGTTCAATCCTGAGTGTCATAAATTAAAAAAAAAAATACAGATCTGCATGCTGTTTAGCACTTGATATGTGGCTAATGTGAGTTGTACTAAGTGTTGTGTAAAACAGACACTGGATTTCAGATTATACTGACTTACACTAATGTAAAATAATAATATTAATTTTTCTTAAATGTATATTAAAATTGTAATATTGCAGAGATATGTTAAATCCAATTTTATTAGTGTAACAGATTTGAAAATACATATGTGGCTTGTAACATATTTCTGTAAGATAATGCTATTCTAGACCATTTCTTTCAAAAATAGTACAGTGTAGAAAAGATTTTCTGAAGATACAGTGTACTTGACTTAGAATACCTTCTCATAATATCAAGAGCTTTGTGCTTTTGGGTAAATTATTAACCTTTTGAGCTGGGAGTTCCTCCTTTGTAAAATGGATGTAGTCTCATTTCACAGATTGTTTTGAGGATGCAGTGTTACGTGTGCGTCACCCAGAGATTGTGTGGATCTTAGGAGGGTGTCAGATTGTCATGTGTGAGGCAGTCAGAAGTCAGATCTGCTGCTTGGGGATCATGGTTTATATGGTGAGGATCCAGGTTACTGCAAACATTTTAGTTCATATTTTTCTCCAGACTTTGTTTATCCATTTAGTCTCTACTTTGAAAATCTTTCATAGAATATACAAATTTAAAAAGTCACCACAGTATGCAAGATTTTAAAAAACTGTATGTACTGTGCACTCTTAGGGATACATTGGTGGAGTTAGTATTACTACATCACAGTTTGGAAGAGCTGGGTTATATGATTTACATTTGTGTTTTTGGAAGAATAATGCATAATTTGAAGTGAAGTAAATTTAAGAGTGCACTAACAAGGAGGGTAATGATTTTATTGTTAAAGATTTTCAAGGGAAATAAAATCACCACAATACTGAAAATTGGTAGAAGGCCTAGGAGTGCTTTTGCAGTTACTTGAGGAAAAGAAAGTAAAGGACTGCCATTGAGCAAATATATTTCTTGGAAAAGTGTATCAGTTAATGTAAGGAAAGGTCATACTGGAATATGAAGTGGATTGTGTCTCTGATATATTGTTTTGTTTACTACTAAGAATGGATGTTAGTGGTAAACAAAAGTAATGCAGGTATTCTGTTGAAGAAGGATCAGATTGAGGGAAAATGTCTTTTATCACGGTAGATGCTTTGCTGTTATTTAATGAGTGAATAGCCCCTGTTCTTGTGTTTCTTTTTTAAATCTATAAAGGACTTTTTCAGGTCAGATGTTATTTTGTTGAAAAATTGCTTGAATTCACTTAAGTCTTAAGTTAAAGAAAACAGAATGAGAGAACTGCATCCCCTTGGATTGACTAGAATCTTTTTAACCACTTTTGTGATGGTGTATATGTAGCAAAGCCTTTACCTTAGTACCTATGGCTTTAACTTAATTTAAGCTGAAATAATGGTAAAGAAAAGTCACAACTTTTTAAAGTGGTTGAATATGAGTTATTTAGAAGATTCCTATGAGTTATTTTGAAGCTGCTTTGCCTCAACTTTGCCTCAGTTTATCTTCCATTAAGCACCAATGTTTGTTTCAGAAATAAAGTATTTATGGACAAGACTATTTCCTGTTTTCTGTTGTTTTTTGCACCTTGTATGTTGGATTTTTCATATAAGAGAAACCATGTGCTAGTTAAGCTTGTGTATATCTTATTTATTTAATTTAGTATTATAGTCTCAAGGTGATAATAAAGTTTTTACTTCTAATAAGTCCAATTTGTTTGCTGGTTTCTTTCATTGCTCATGTCTAAGAATGTTTTGTTAATTCCAAGGTCATGAAGATTTTCCTCTTTAATTTTTTTTAAGAGTTTTATGATGTTTATATCATTGATCAACTTTAGTTTTTATTCACGGTGTAAGTGGGAGTCTGGTTTCATTCTTTTGCATGTGGAAATCTGGTTGTCCCATCATTTATGGAGTAGACTTGACTCTGAAAAATCAATTGGCTCTAGATCTATGAGTTTATTTCTGAGTTCTCGGTTCCATTCCATTGCTTCATGTGTTTGTCCTTAGGGCAGTACTGTACTGTGTTGCTTATGGTAGCTGTGTGGTAAAACTGACATTTGGAAGTGAAAGCTGTTTATTTTTTTTCTTCCTTTTTAAGGTTATTTTGACTTTTTGGGGCCCCTTACAAATTGTGTATGAATTTGAGGATTGATGAGTCAATTTGTGCAAAAAAAAAAAGCTGTTGAAATTTTGATAGGAATTAATTGACTCTGTACAAAGCTTTGGGTAGTACTGGTTGTCTAAACATAGTAAATCTTCCAGTCTGTAAATGCTGGTTGTCTTTTCAGTTACTTTCTTTCTTTTAGTAATATTTTACAGTTTTCAACGTAAAAGTTCTCTTTGATTAAGTTGATTCCTTTTATTCTTTTAGGTGTTAGAAATAAAATTACTTCCTTGATTTTCTTTTTTGGATTGTTGACTACTAGTAACATATAGAAACACAATCAAGGTTTTTTGTTATTTTATGTGTGTGTATGGTGTATGTGTAATTTGTAACCTGTAACTTTGTTGATATTAGTAGCTTTCTTGGAGTTCTTTGGAATTTTCTTTATGTAGAGAATAGAGTGATCTTCATTTTGTGTACGAGTAGACACTTTTTTTTTTTTTACTTATTCCTTGCCAGTTTGTATGCTTTTATTTCTCTTTCCATCTTATTGCTCTGCCCGAACTTTCTGTAGTGTTGAATAGCAGGGGTAAAAGCAACCATCCTTGTCTAAATTAATTTTTTACTTTCAAGATAAAATTTGGCACTAAATTTTGTCAAAAGATTATATATAATTGACTAATTATGTTGATCCTAATTAGTCTATAGAGAAATTGATCCTAATTAGTCTATAGAGAAGTTGATGTTGAAATTTCTTTCAGTTGCAGCACAGACAATGAACCAGCAGTGAAAGAAAAAATGCGGCCAACTAGCTGACTGCTGTTGACAAAGATGTTTTCTCTTTGTGATGGGCAGCAGTGGGATCTGCAACAGAAATGTAAGTATAACATGGATTTGTGTAAAACACAGTAAATCCAGAATCTGTCATATTTAGTTTTAATTTTACAAAGTGAGTATTTTATGTTGACTTGTAGTTTTATCAAGTTAGCAATTTTATTCACATTAAATTACCACTGTGAGAGTTCCCAAAAGGGTCTCATAGGGGACAGTCTCTACAAAAGTAAAACTGAAGACAGGAATTTGCTTATTGTAAGCTAAAACATGGGAGTGATCTCTAGTGCCTCTGGATTCTGTCTTTTCTTTGCACGTAATTTACTTAACCAAGTGAGACAGATTTAGTAGTATCAGTTTTTTAAATAAGAGAGACTTCTAAAGTATAAAATTACTAGGTACTAGAAACTTGTGTCATTAAATTTAAGGAATTCCTTTCTACCATAACTGATTTTTTAAAAATGAATTTTTAAAAAATTATTGCTTTTTCGTTTTGATTCACTCTGATTCAGTATTAGGTGTATTTTCCTGTCATTTAGTCTTTATGTAATGTGCTTTAAAGTGTTAGATTACCATGAACTTCCTTAGACTGAACTGTGTTCTATTATTGATGAAGTATTTCCCACAAAGAACATTATAGTTCTGTCTTCCAAATGGATAAACATTATCCAGCTTGATGTCACTTATGAAAAATGTGTAGTTTAGTTTGGGGATTAGGATTTAATTATGGGGCCACAGTAACCTTTGTAGATAATGTTTCAGTTTCTCTTAGTTTGACTCCAATTTTTGGTATGAGAAAAATAAGACCATATCAGTCTTAGTTTGGATGTCACCACTTTGCTGGGGTTTTTTTTGCTCAGCTCAGATGGAAATCACAAATGGGCAGTGAACCTCCCTTGATGGGCTCTGGGCTCTTGAGTGCCAGTGACTCTTGGCTGTTAGTGTTTGTCTTGGTTATTTTTTTCTTGTTGCTGACACAAAATACCTAATGCTCAAAATGAAGGAAGGAAAGGTTTAGTTAGCTTACAGTTTGTGGAAGTTTCTGTCCACACTTGGCTGGCTCTAAGGCAGAGGGCAAATGGCCCAGGGCAACTGCTCACGGGGACAGGTAAACAGCAAAGGGAGGAAGTGGTGGCAAGCAGCCTCTTTCCCTCCCTTACATTGCATGGAAACTACCAGCCCCAGGGCGGGTGTAGCACTCACACCCGTGAATCAATCATAAACTCTAGAATCCCACCCCATGACTTCATGAGGCTTTTGAGGGACGTGGAGACACAAATTTTAACAGTGTTAGAGCTCTGAGTTTTGAGTGCTAGTGCCTCTTAGCTCTTGCTGTCTGTTGTGATTTGTGTGTGCGTGTTCCCCGCAAAGCCTCATGCAGCCATGGGTGCAGGCTTCTAGAGTTTATGCTTGATCCATAATCCAATGCTGGGATTATGGGTGTGAGTGCTACACTCATCCTGGGGTGGGGGGCAGTGGGGTAGTTTGCATACAATATACAGGAGGGAAAGAGGCTTGCTCTTCCCTCTCTATCACTCCTCCACTTTGCACTGTTGCTTTTGCTATTTTCTACTGTCATGAACTGTTGTCCTCTGCCATGTGCCACTCTGCCTTGGAACCAGCCAGGTATGCACTGAAACCTCCACAAACTGGGAGCTAAAGAAACCGTTCCCTCTTTATTTTAGGTGGGAGATGGCTCCTGAAAGAGTAGAGCTCAAACGCCATTGGCTGTTCTATATGGGAGGTTTTGGTTAGAGCTCAGAAGACCAGAAGGCTGATAGAAATCCTGTTGGGGTTTTTTCTGGGTACTGGGAATTGAACTCAGGACCTTGCACTTGCCAGGCAGGTGTTTATGCCACTGAGCTATATTCCTGGCCCAGAAATTTTGTTGGTAAAGACCAGTTTTGGGTGGTTTCTGCTGGGAAGAAGGACCATATTGGTTGTTGGACTCCAGATGATGTATGTTGTGGCTTGGCAGAAAGTTTGTCTGCATTTTGCTTGTGTCCAGAGAATTTGCCTGAAACTGAGATTAAGGGCAGTGGCGGACTGATTTAATCTGGCAAAAGAAATTTCAAGGCAGTCAAATATTGGGGCAGTGGCATGGCTCTTGTTGGGGGCTTTTAGCCACATTTATGTAGAGAATCAAGAGCCAAGAGCCCAGCAGGATGATTTAAAATGTCATGAGTTTGGCCAGAAAGAAAGCTCCTGTAAAACTGTGGACTGCAGAGATAGAGCTGAGGAGATCTCTGTTGCTGAGAAGGAACGGGAGAATAGAAAAGACGGCTGGAGGGCATCACTAGGAACAGCAAGTCTCCACCCTTTGCAGCCTTAAAACTGCAAAGATGAAAGACTTTGCTTTGAGAAGAGCCACGTTTCAGAATAGTGGCAGCAGCTGCAGGTTCCAGAATGGTGGCGTCATAGAAAAGTTGTTCCTCAGAATCAGGTTCAGAGTGCTCAGCGATCGAGGCACTCAACCCCTATGGCCAAGAGAGAGGAAAGCTGGGCTACTGCTCCAGGTGGCAGCAGACCTTGGCATCATCCACGTGGCACTGGTTTTAGGCGCATACAGAGTGCAAGAGTTCTGAGGTTAAGAAGGCTTCCACCTAGATTTCAGAAGGCCTGGGAGGCCAGAAAGTGTGCCCCTGAGAGGAAAGTATGTGAAGCAGTGAGTGTGAAACCTAAAGTGCAGTGGAGACCTCAGAAGTTTGGAGAAGCCAGAAACACGGGTCATCTAAGGAAAGCTGCAAGGAGGGAGCAAAGCAGGACTAAGAGAGAAGCCATGGGAGCTGTAACCACCAGAAGTGCCATAGGGGTGGAGTCACGCGAGTCCTTTGGAGCTCACAGTTTGCCACAGATTGCTTAAGGTTCTGGACATGGAACTACAGGACTTAGTGTTTGCTCTGCTGGCTTTTGCACTTGCTTTGGTCCCAATGCTTTGTATCCTTCTGTTTGTACCTTTTGGTTTGTGGTGTTTTTTTTGTTTATTTGGTACCGGGAATCGAACTCAGGACCTTGTGCTTGCCAGGCAGGTGCTTGTGCTGCTGTGCTATATCCCTGGCTATTTGTACCTTGTGGAATGGTAATGTTTAGTTATCTTGTGCCATTGAATGTTGAAGTGTTTAACTTTTCATTTGTACAGGGGCTCATAGTTAAGAATTTGCCTTAAATCCCTGAGGAGACTTAGGACTTGAATTTTTCAGCAATGCTGAAACTGTTAGGACTTTGGCAACTCTTAGAGGTGAACTAAAATGTCTTTTACATAAAGGGATGTATATGAGTCTTTGGGGGGGCCAGGGGTAGAATGTTACGGTTTGTGTCTGGATGTTCCCCCGCGAGCCTCATGCGGTCGTGGGTGCAGGCTTCTAGAGTTTATGCTTGATCCATGGTCCAAAGCTGGGGTTATGGGTATGAGTGCTACACCCGCTGTAGGGCAGGTAGTTTGCATACAATGTAAAGGAGGGAAAGAGGCTTGCTGTTCCCTCTGTACCCCTCCTCTGTTTTGCTCTTGTTGCTTTTGCTGTTTTCTGCCACCATGAACTGTTGCCCTCTGACATGTGCCACTCTGCCTTGGAGCCAGCCAAGTATGGACTGAAACCTCCACAAACTGGGAGCTGAATAAACCTTTTTCTTCCTTAATTTTGGGCATCAAGTATTTTGTCTCAGCCATGAGAGAAAATAAGACATTGCAGCTGTAGTCTTATAACTCTTGGTGTTATAGCTTTTGGAGCCTTCCGGCTGCCCCTATTGGCTCCTCAGCTTGTACTCCCTTTCTGGTGCAGTTTCTGCAGCTTCCTGTCCAGGTCCCCTGCTCTTGGCTCTGCTGCTCTGTGGCTCTCTGGAACTCTCCAGGAGCTCTCTGGCTCTCAGTTACTGACAAGGCTAATAGTCCTTACTGTTACCAGCTCTTGGGGGAACCCACCCATAAGTAGTAGAATCACCTAACAAGGCTTTCCTGGGGAGGGGCAGAACATAGGAGAGAGTCACCTGTACTGACCTAAGTATGAGGGACACTGCTTGTGTAGAGAAGGAGCAGTTTGGGCAGGGGCAGACCTGTTCGGGGACTTTTCTTTTTGGAAGGAGTGGCAGAGGGATCGGACATCTGAAGTAAATGCGGAACACAGTGACCTGGGATAGGGCCATGTCTGATGCCTGCAGCAGCCTAGCCACAGATCTCCTGCAGTGGCTGTGGGGCTCCTGGGATAGCCATAGCTGTCCTGGTGATAGCAGGCCTAGTGGGAGAAGTGGTCACAGCAGGGTCAATCCTGACTATTGCCACCGTCGAGGAGTTTCCAGGAGGGCAGCAGTGTTACTCATACCCAGTACAGTTTTGGAAGATCAAGAATGACAGCAGTGGGCCCTGGTCTGTCCCGTGTCCTTACCCTGTCAAGCACACTACTACTCGGGCAGAACAGAAGAACCCAGATGACCCAGAGCAGGGATGTGACAGTGGAGGCTGTTGGTTGAGCTGTGGCTCCTGTCAGGGCTGCAGAGGTGATCGGCGGCCGGGAGTGCAGTTGCTGCTACACAGTTGTCTCTGGCTTCACACATGCTAGGCAAGTGCTATACCACGGAGTCACATCTCCAGCCTGCTTTTTTTTTTTTTTTTTTTTGGTTTTTCTCCGGTACCGGGAACCGAACTCACGACCTTGCGCTTGCCAGGCAGGCGCTTTGCCACTGAGCTAAATCCCCAGCCCCCAGCCTGCTTTTTTTGTTGTTGTTGTTACTGTTTTGCTAGATCTTGCTAAGCCATTAAGCACTTAAGGGTAGGAATTAGCTATAATATATGTGAGACAAATATATAATCAGCCAAAGGCAGGACAAATTCCATATTTTGGTAACAAGAAAATGCTACTGAAACTCAGAGGGACAAGAAATTAGTTCCGTTTGAAGGGTTGAGAGTGAAAGGAAGTTTCAGCTTGGCCTTAAAGAGTGAATAGAATTTTAACCACTAGACAAAATTAGGAAATAATTTTCTAGGCGAAGTAAAGAGGGATATATAGCTGCTTGTCATCAGCGTACTTTAATGAGGTTGGGAATAACTGTTTG